ACCTTCGAGCTCCACCGTCAGGGGAACACGGGGTCCTCGTCGGGCTGGGGGAGCTGATAGACGGGCTCAGTTTTCAGCGAAGCGCTGGGAGAGGGCAGTGCCCACAGCGGCGAGAGGGGCTGGACGGGCTGGAGGTGGATGAAGTCCGAGTGCTGGGTGAAGGTGTAGGCCGAGGGGTGTGGAGGGTGGTGGTGGTCGGCCAGCTCGATGGTGCCGGAGAAGGCCAGGGCGCGCCCGACCTGCACACCATCAGTCTGGACCTGGTCCAGGGCGAGGTGTTGGTCGCGCGGGCGGTGGGAGTTGAGGACCCGCACGGCGTCGGTGGCGGCGTCGTCTAGAGCCGAGCGCCACTGGTCGAGTCTGGTGGTGTCCACCTTGAGAAAGGAGTGCGGCATGTAGCGGTGTGGGTCGGGCATCTGCCGGGCCAGCCCAACATACAGGAAGGCAACTATAAGTAGGAGGAGGAATTCATGATGGTGGGAAGTGCGGGCCATGACCGAACTGGGCTTAGCTGGGTGTGTTACAGTGTTGGTGGCGTTTGAGGCTAGTGTCGAGAGGCCAGAACGACCAAAAGAGCGTGACGTCACTTCCTCTTTGATTGGTCCACCTCTCCACATTCCCTGCGAGTTTGGAGAGCCCGCCCAAATTTCACGAATATTGCAAGAAAAATTCAGCTTGTGTGACCCGATAAAAAACAAAATAACACAACAAAGCCAAAGATGATGGGGGAGAACCCCAAATCATTCACGCGGCTGGTCGCGATGCCGATCGCAAGTGTGTAGTTGTTGATACTACGGTATTCGTTTCCAGGCAAGGCTCAGCGCAAAAAAGGGGCATGGCCGCCTTTGGATCGAGAGGCGTGTGCAGGCGGCATCTCCAAAAACAGAACCAGGGGAAAGTGGGCTGACGGAGAGGCCTGAAGGTTGGAAGGCAGCCCCCCCGCGTCATCTACGATTCATCTCTCTGAGTAATCCATCCATTTTCCGGAGGGAAGGTGGCTGCTAAAAGATTCTGAAAAGTGAGGGCGAGAAGGTGAAGGCGAGATGAATGGAACTGCTTCTGCTCTCGGCGCCTCGCCGTCTTCTTCCTCTCCCTCTCCATCTCCGCCACCTTCAACATCGACATCGAGTAGCTCTTCGTCCTCGCCCTTGACCCGCCACGGCCGAAGCGGGAGCCTTCTTCGAACCCGGGCCGTGCGCGAACTGCATCATGGCCTGGATCAAGCAGACGACGAGGAACCCACCAAGGTCGAGGAGGTGAAGAAGCTGCTCCAGCAATCGGTGGCCTCCTATTTTGATCGGTTGCAGGAGGAGGAGCGCGAGAAGCGAAAGCAGGAACGCGAGCAGCGCGAGAGGCGGAAGCGCTTGCCCATCTTGTTGATGGTACGTAGTGGTTGAGCCACCTTCACTTTCACCTTCATCTCCCCCAACCACAACACGACCATCAACAGATTACACTTCTTTCTTGACGTTGCACATCAACCGCTACGTCATTAAATCATAACAATAAATAAGTACAACAAATTGTAATCAAATTAAAATGCCCAACAGGTTACGCTGCCGGACTGGCTTGGCGGGGACGCGCACGAAATCATTCTACCGCACGACTGCCTGATCGACGAAGTCAAAGTACGTCTGGTGCTGGTGGTGCTTGTCGTGGGCTTGCGCGCGTTTGATGCTGATGCCCCACGCCACATATAGCAAACGATCTGGAAGCAAGTTCCAGCGCTGTGGGACACCGCCAGGGAGGAGTGTGACCTCACCCTGGCCGGCAGGTGCGGCTCCGCTCGGTCCCTGTCCAAGTGTTGTTTGCGTTGCTTCTCTGTTCTAGGCTGATACCTTGTGGTGTGTGACGCAGCTATGTACTGGACGTGGAGTTCTGCAAGCTGCTATCGATCACGGTGGTGGGCAAATACTTCGCTGAGCACAACAAGGTCGCACTCAGCGTCATCACAAAGAAAATAGCCCCTAAACGCGGGTAAGATAGCACACGCACACGCACACATCGCACACGCACACATCGCACACGCACTGACGCTTAGGTTCGGATTGGTGCAGGCCGCTTCCAAAGACGCTTTCCGCAAGGAGACCGTTGTCCGATAGCACTAGCTCGATCGTAAGCTCGCCAGCGAACTCACAGGTCCCCTCGGGACCCAGTCCTCTGAGCATGAGCACCAACAGCCCCATTGGGACGATCGTGCGACCTCCACCGAGACCGAGCGACGAGGACGACCACAAGAAGCGCGCTGCAGTGATCGCCCAAAAGCTCAGCGAATCACAGGTTTGCCACCAATTTATCGGATTTGTGGATGTGTGTCGTGTGTGTCGTGTGTGTCGTGTGTGTCGTGTGTGTGGTTGCCGCTTCAAAGGGACAAAGGTAACAAGCGTCTATGACATTCCACCACCAGAGCGCGCTCTACAAGGTGCAAACGCAGATACGGGAACTGCAGAGCATGTACCGGAAGGAGCTGGACCAGTGCCTGTCCAACATCGCCCTGACCAATGTCATCCGCCAAGCCGACGAGGCGGGCTTGAAGAAGCGCACCACGGAGGAGGCCGCCGCCGAAGCCCTGGTCGAGGCCGAAGCCGAGTCGGAGACCACCGCGTCCGAGGTCTCGGAAGCGGAGGCCGACGACGATGAAGAGGACGGCGCCGATGACGACGACGGCGCCGATGATGAGGAATTCGCAACGGCCACGGTCAACGAGACCGAGCTTGCGATGCGGTTCTTCAACGACCGCAAGGAGCTGCTGGAGCGCATCGTAGCCAACCTGCAGGAAATCCTGGACTCCAAGGACCTGATGACGCCGTCGGTCGAGCGTCAACCGTCATTCAAGCGTCTGGCCGATCTGAAGGCCGTCAAGGACTCTGAGGCTTCGGCTTCGGCTTCGGGCGCTGCCGCTGGTCCGTCGCTCCGGACACCGCCGCAGACGCCGCTGCCACCGCTCCCCCCGCACGCCAAGGCCCGCATGTCGTGCGGCCAGCCGGCCTTGGTGCGCGTCAGCGAGCTGATGGAGAGCGAGGCCATTCAAAAGAACGACTCCTCGCCCAAGCCCGGGGGCAAGGACGGCGTCGACGAGGAGGAAAAAGAAAGGTATTGCGTGCTGCGTGTGCGTCATGTGTGTCATGTGTGTCGTTCGCTCACAATTAGGACCTGCACAGACAGAGGAAGAGGTTGCTTACGCCACTCGAGCGAACGCGGGAAGAGTTTTTTGAGACGGAGGAGAGCTACGTGGCGGGTCTGGCAATCATAGTCAAGGTACCTCAAACTCCTGCAAATGTCAGCAGGGCAAAACCCATTTGACGCCGACAACGACCTACCTCTATCTCTAGGTCTACTTGGCGGGCGTCACGGGCATACTGAGCCCCAACGACCTCGACACGATCTTCGCCAACGTGGCGACCATCTTCGAGATCCACAAGAACCTGCTGCAGGACATCTCCCATATCAAGGACAAGGAGCGCGCCCAGAGTACTATCCGCACCACAACCTGAGATCTAAATAGCTCGAGCTGATACGTTTGAGGCCTCAACGCGATCTTACCATTCCTCCTTTTTGTTGCTGCTGCGATTCTAGCGGGCAAGTCGTTCGGTGATTCGCTCAAGGCCTTCATTCCATTCCTGAAGATGTACACCGTCGTACGTGGATCCCTCTGCACCACAGGCGCGCAATACTTGCTGCTCACGGGCGTACACACACACACACACACACACACACACACAGTATATCAACGCCTTCGACGATGCCAACAAGCGCATCGGCGAGCTGATGAACACGTCGAAGAAGTTCGCTGCCTATCTGCAAGGTCTGGCCCGTTGTAAGCTTTCGGTCGCACACGGGCTTGCGCTGAATCTCACCCCACATTTCAATTAACGTTCGCCACCACACAGAGGCCCAGGCGCGGCCCGAGTGCAAGAAGCTGGACTTGACGTCGTACCTGATCATGCCCGTGCAGCGCCTACCGCGATACGAACTGCTCCTGCGGGATCTCATCAGGCTGACCCCGCCCGAAGACTCTGAACACCCCAAGCTGAGCTCGCTCTTGGGTACCAAAAAGCCATTTCCGTTCCCCCGTCTCCATCGCTGTCAGCACGGTCGCTCGGCTGTCACTCATCGTCGGTTCGGTTGGTACAGAGGCTGTGGTGTTGGTCAACAAGCATGTGAACGAGAGCAAGAAGAATGCCGAACTTCGACAAAAGTATGCCGGGCTTCCAACACGACACGCACGACACAGATCACGGGAGAGCTGCATGCTGACGTCGTAGTCTTCTTCCTGCACACCACTTGCAGGTTGTACAGACTCCAGGTCTCGATCAAGGACAAGGTCGACATCTTCTCTCGGGTCAACCGACATCTGATCCGAGAGGGCTCCTTCCAGTCCTACGAGCTCCGATTGCAGGACCAGGGCAAAGAAACCGCTGCGTACGCCCTCCACTCTTTGTCGTGTCGTGCGTGTTGCGCGCGTGTCGTGCGTGTCGTGCGTGTCGGGCGTCGTATCTCAAACACCACATGACAAACAACAGGGAGAGAGGGTTCGCGGTACCGTCGGCACACTCCCCGTTCCACAGGGAGCTGGCGCGGCAGAACGTGGAGGGCGTGAGCCTGCTCAACGTCTCGCTCAAGCGGCTGCCCTTCAAGGAGCGCTACTTCTTCCTCTTCGATGACTACCTCCTCGAGGTCTCACTGCCCACACGAAGCGGCAAATACAAATTCGTCCGGTGCGTCCCCCACGGAGGACTCGACCGACCACAACACCATCACGCACAACCGCACACGCACACGCATACAACCGCACACGCACACAACCGCAGACGCGCGATTGTGTTCTGACTGGGTTGGTTCGGTCCGAACAGGAAAGTCGACCTCAGAAATATGACCTCGGTCTCGTGGGAGAAGGACAAGGAGCGAGAGCTCAAGGACCTGTTCCCACAGCGGGCGCCGAATGCGAACTCCGAAATCCCGGTACGTGCGGTGTCATCTTCATCTACAATTTAATGAATAAGATCTGCATATGTTGAACTATATATTGAAGCTACATGTTGGACACAATATTAACCTGACAGCTGCTCGTGTGTGTGTGTGTGTGTGTGTGTGTGTGTGTGTGTGTGTGTGTGTGTGTGTGTGTGTGTGTGTGCGGTTTCGTGCAGACTTTGTCGAACGAGATATTGATGCTGAGTCCAGCAATCATGGAAGACGAAGACAAACTGGTACACTACCCATGTCCCAGCAGACCGTCACGGTGGGCGCCCCACTTTTCTAACGGTAGCGAACGGAACGGCTCTGCTTGGCAGGTCCTCTCGGTGGTGGTGGATGGAACTAAACGCTACCTCTACAAATTCAAATCCACGACTGAGCGCGATGATTGGCACGACGTACTCAGCAAACAATCCGCCAAATGTACAGCTAGCAGGCATGCCACACACACACACACGCACACGCACACGCACACACGCACACACGACCGCACACGCACACACACACGCGCACACGCGCGCGCACTCACGCACACACGAGTGGCACACCGTGGCGCATTATACGTCCAAAAAACTCAATCTCTCCTTATTCGACGGCCGTGCAGGCAAGGCGGAACCAGCGAGCGCAGTGCCCGAGCTGGAAATCGCGGTACGCCCTCCTCTTCTTTTGAGTGCTGTGGTGCACACTGATGTGACCTCATCGACGCACCATACAGGACCGAGGGCAGTCCTCGCTAAGCAACCTGCTCGGTTTCAGCCCAGCATCAAGTACAACTTTCTATGTTGTTGTTGTTATACTATGTGTGTGTGTGTGTGTCTAGTGTGTCGTGTGTGTGTGTGTGTGTGTGTGTGTGTCGTGTGTGTGTCGTGTGTGTGTGCGCGCGCTTGATACAAGTCACTAACGCGCATCGGACCCTCGCACAGTGCTGACGCCGCGGGAAGTGAAGAGGCCCAAGAAGTCCAAGAAGAAGTCCAAGTCGAAGAAGCTCGCCTCGTCGGCCACCTCGCTGGTCGCGGGCAAGAAGAAGCGCTCGGCCGACTTGCTCGCTCTCGACTCCGGCGCCGCGCCCGACTCGCCCATGATGGCCCGGACCGCCTCGGCCATGGCCGACGCCGCAGCCGCCTATGTCGCCGAGGTCGACCGCCGGGCCAACCCGCCGACGGTCGCGCGCAGCACGAGCAGCCTCGCCGTCACGTCCAAGGAGACCGCCACCGCGAAGAAGGAAAAAGAGAAAAAGGAAAAGAAGGAAAAGAAAGAGAAGCACGACAGCGACAAGGCCATCGGCGGCGACGGCAGCGGCCTCGGGTCTGGGGCGCGTCGCAGCAAGAGCCTGGGTCCGGCCCGGTCCAAGGCCTTGCTCCGTGAGATCAACCTGGGGCTGGCAGTGGCCAACAACAGCGACGTGGTGGCCCCGCGGGGCGAGGTGGCCGCCCCCGGGTCCGCTCGGGCTGCCACGGCCACGGGCGTCACGGCCAAGGGCGACACCCTGCGACCGAAGATCGGCGCGGCCTTAGCGCGACGAGGGATCAAGCTGACGTCGCCCATGGTCGGCCCGGCATCGCCAGGTTCGGAGGCCTGCGCCCCGAGCAGCGCCGGGGCTGCGTGGTCGCCGGCGTCGCCCGCCCAGACGCCCAACAACTCGTCGCCCCGCATGCTGGCGGTCTCTTCTTCGATTCTCGATGCCACCAAGAACCGAGGAAAGGAGACGCCACCAGACAAACCGCCCAAGGATCGCAAGCGGTCCCACACCAAGACCTCTTCATGAGCGAGTGACATGGAACTATGTCAACGTGTTGATGGCAAGACTACTTTATTACAACCACGACAATGTGTATCTGTGCATTACCTACATGTGGTGTAGTGGTAACCAGACACAGGTGGCTAGTGGGTGCCCTTCTTGTAGCCGCCCTTGCTGGCGGGCAGGTAAGCCCGACGCTCGTGCAGCTCGCGCTCCAGCCACCACGTGGCGCCCTTGGGCAGCCTCTGCTTGGCCTCCTCCAGGTAGACCTCAGCCTCGGCCAGGCGCGCACGCGCCTCCTCTACAGCGGCCTCGGCCGCCGCCTTGGCCTCCTCAGACCTCGCTCGGGCCTGCTCGGCCTCGGCGCGGGCCTCGGTGGCCTGGCGCGCCGCCTCCTCGGCAGCCGCTCGGGCCTCGGACGCCTGGCGGGCCGACTCCTCGGCCTGGGCGCGGGCCTCGGTGGCCTGGACAGCGGCCTGCTCAGCCGCAGCGCGGGCCTGGGTGGCCTCAGCAGCGGCCTGCTCGGCAGCGGCGCGGGCGGCCGAAGCCTGGCGGGCCGACTCTTCGGCCTGGGCGCGAGCCTGCTCGGCCTGGTGCCTGGCCTGCGTGGCCTCCTCGGCGGCCTGTTCGGCGGCGGCGCGGGCCTGAGACGACTGGCGCGAGGCCTCCTCGGCGGCTGCGCGGGCCTGCGAGGCCTGGTCGGCAGACGCGTCGGCGGCCTGGCGGGCCTCCTCGGCCACGGTGCGCGCCGTGCTGGCCTTGTCGGCGGCGGCCTTGGCCACCTGAGCGGCGCGGTCGGCCTTCTTCACGGCGGCCTCCTGCGTGATCTTGGCCCGACGCAGCGGCAGCGGGTCCGACGACAGGTGCTGGGCGAGCTCGTTCTTGGCCCGGTTGCGCGACACGAGGCTGCCCTCCTCGGACAGGCGCTTGAGTTCCTCGGTGCGGCCGTTGAAGGCGTCCTCCTGGGCCTTGAGCTCGGCCAGGGCGGCCTCGAGCTCGGCCTTGGCCGCCTGCAGCTCGTCCTCGCGGGCGCGGGCCTCGGCCTCCTCGGCCTTGGCCTGCTCCTCCGACTGGCGCGCCTGCTCGGCGGCCGACTGGGCCTCGGAGTCGCGCTGCTTGGCCTCGGCCTCGGCCTGGAGGGCGGCGGCTTCGCGGGACTTGGCCTCGGCCTCGCGGGCCAGCGCGTCGGCTTCACGGGCTTTGGCGTCGGCCTCGCGGGCCTTGGCCTCGGCTTCGGCTGCCAGGGCGTCGGCTTCGCGGGCCTTGGCCTCAGCCTCGGCGGCCAGGGCGGCCTCCTCGCGGGCCTTGGCCTCAGCCTCGGCCGACAGGGCGTCGGCCTCCTTGGCCTTGGCGTCGGCTTCGGCGGCGAGCGCGTCGGCCTCGCGGGCCTTGGCCTCGTTCTCCGCCGCCAGCGCAGCCGCTTCGCGCGACTTGGCCTCGGCCTCGCGCGAAGTGGCCTCCGACAGGGCCGCCGCAGCTTCCGCGTCGCGCGCCGCCGACTCCTCGAAGGCACGCTGCACCTCGTTGAACACCTTCTCGGCCTTCTCGATCTCCTCCTTGGAGCCCTGCGGCGCGTTGACGAGCGTGTGCCAGTCGGCGTTGTACTTGAAGGTGAGGATGTGCGTGAGTGGCACACGCTTGACGGTGCCCACGATGGCGCCCGTCGACCTCAGCCTGTCCCTCATCGCCTGTCGACACAAAAAGTAAGTCGTGTACGTGAGTCCGCAAAGCCCGGTCAACGCAATTCAAATACCGAGTGACGTCACCAGGGAACAAAGGACGAAGGAAAAAAGAACGAAGACGGCGGACGTGAGGGGGAAGGGTGGGGCGGGGGGGATACCTGGACGGTGAGGGTCTCCTTGAAGTGTTCGAGGAAGCGGTGGGCCTGGAACTCGTCGAGGTCGGAGCCCTCGGCGCGCTTGGCCTCGTCGAGCTCGATGGCCTTGTGCACGAACGACCACACCTTCTCCGCCTCCTTCTCGCCAAACTCCTACTCACGTTTTGTACAGTGAGTCACTAACTGCTACAAAATAAATCATCAAAATACCTAAATAGTATAATACAGTATACAGTGTAGGCCAGTGACGGCGGCATACCTCCCAGTAGGCGTTGAGGAACCAGACGGCCTGGTCCTTGTGGGTGCGGGTGATGAGGTCATCCAGCTTCTCCTTGTCGTTCGATCCAGCAAGCACGGTGGCCATGATGGTAATATAGTTTGTTTTGGGTGGTGTGGGGGTGTATGGTACAGTCGGGAGGATAAGGTAAAGAAGTTGGCCGTGGCGACGAACAAACACCACCTCAGCGCCGGGCGACCGGAGCTTGGCCAACGGTTTCATATTTTGTGCACTCGCCTGGGATCTTGGGTCGGCGAGACGCTAGGCACCTAGAGGGACTTGAGTACTATCGAAGAGAAGGGCATGCAGTGCCGGCATTCAACTTCTTAGGGTTCTTCTTATGCGAGGCAGTGCGAAGGGAACCTGCTTGAGTGCCGCCACAGCATAGAGATAAGATCCCATCATTTTTGCGAAATGCGGGTCGTGCATACCAACCTGTCGCCGGGTAGGAGCCAAACGCCTGTATGAGACGGCGCTAACCGCCACCACTTTATCTTCACGCGACACAAAACATACATGCCCAACCTGCCCCCAGCTCGCAGCTTCGCCCGGTTCTTCCTCTTCCCTGTCGGCATGGCCCTCGCCGGCCTTTTCGGCGTATTCTGTCTTCTTTCGTCTGGGTCCGCGCCGCGAGAGGCATCCATGATGAGTGCCACCACCATCACCACCACCATCAACACCGCCACCGCCGCCTTCACCGGCAGCATCCGACCACTCAAGCTCGCGTACCTCATTCTGGTCCACACGCCCGACTCTGTGCGGGCCTCGCAACGTCTAATGACCGCGATCTGGCGGCCGGACTTCTACTATCTCTACGTTGTGGACCAAGAAATGAGCGACCAGGGGCGCCGGGCGCTGGCCGAGTATCTGGCCTCGCCCGATGCCGCGGTGTTCCGAGCCCGCGGGAACGTGCGGGTCATGCAGGCCAACGTGCGTGCCGGGTGGGGTTCGATGGGCCTGGTGCAGAACGAGCTGGACGGGCTGGCCGGGCTGGTGCGGGCCCACGACGACTGGGACTACGCGCTTGCCGTGTCGGGCGACACCTACCCGCTGGTCAGCCAGGAGCGGCTGGTCGAGCGGCTGGCCTACTGGCGCCGGCGCGGGGCCAACTTCGTGTGCGACGACGGCAAGAAGCCCCAGCGCAACCAACACGTTCAGGCACACAAGTCCGCCCGGCTGGCCAAAGTGGCCTGGCCCACGGGTGTCACCGAGCCCGACCAGTTCGGATCGCAGGTGCATAATTATTAGTTTATTATTATCATTTTATCATCATTTTTTATCTTTTATTGTAAGCTAAACTAACATGTTGGCGAATTGGGCAGTGGTTTACGCTGACGCGCGAGTTTGTCGAGTACACGCTGACCTCGACCTTTGCACGCAACGTGCTGATGGCCATGGCCCAGGTGGAGATCCCGGACGAGTCCTTCTTCCAAGTCCTCCTCATGAACAGCCACTTCAACAACACCGTGGGCCTCGTTGTGCGCTACTCCCGCCCGTTCGTGCAGTTCTCTCATTATCATTCTCTCATCACTTGCACCACGCGCTTCACCACAGCCGCCAGCTCCCACCAGCCAGATCTGTCGGTACATCACCTGGGACAAGTGCAACTATGAGGTACCTCGCTACTCTAACCCACCGCAACAGTTGAGGATTGTCATTCGTATGTAAATGAATCTACACTCACGTCGTTCATGGGGTGCGTGCTCGCGATCCAACACGACCCTGCAGAAGAAGGGCATACACATGTGGCCGTGCTTCTTCGGCCCCAAGGACTTCGCGGCGATGACCGCTTCGGACTGCGTCTTCACACGAAAGCTGCACCCGGACGTCTCGGGAGACCTCTACGACATGCTGGACCAGCACATGGCCACCGCCGTCTGAACATCATTTCGTAGAGACATAGATATATTGACCAATGTATGTGCCACGAGGTCGTGTGGAAGGTAACAGAGCGCCGCCATCGAGGAGCGTATGGCACGAACAGAAATATTTATAAGTAGCGGCAGCGCTCAGCTGTCGGTTGAACCTTCGCTCGACGCAGCGACCAGCTCTGCGTAGGTGCGATACAGCATCTTGATCTCGTTCGCCTGCGCGAGGTGATGGAGTGCGTGACACAGAGACGGGGTCAGCCCAAGTCGGAACATGAAGCAATCTATCGGCTGGGCGAGGTGAGCGAAGGGAGAAGACGGACAGCGCACCCATGGAGAATGGCAGGTGAAGCACTGGGGCTTGAACAGATCGCCCACGAATATGGCCCACGTGTCTTTGCTGCTCATCGTCCATTGCGAAATGTCGCCGTAGCTCCACGCCTGGCACAACTCCTGAGACGCACAGACCGCGTCAGAGGGCAAACCCCACATTCATACGGCCGAGCAGGGCAACAACGCACCAGCGTCTGCGGGTGGTAGATGGCCACTCGATCGACGTTGATGGCGAGCAAGGCCTTCTCAGGCAGCTTGGAGTCCTTCGTCTGCGGGGAAGAAGCGGTACACGTGGAGAGCGAGCGCAAAGAGGTGTCAGCTCGCCCCGCAGCCGGCCAAGAGGCACTGGGGTAGCAGATCGGGGGCGTACCACGATGGGGAACACGGTGGCACCGTAGAACTCAGATTTGAAGTACCGCTCCATCACCGCGCCGAGCGCCTGCCGCCACGCCTCCGCTTAGAAAATAGCCACGCGCACAGACGGAGGGGGTGAGACTTACCTGGAGGGTTGACTTCTCCTGATGGGCGTAGAGCGAGCCGTTCATCAACGCCAGCCACTGGTCGCCTGTGCGTTTGTTCATCACCGAGGCCGGAATGAAGTCCATAATCTGCTCACTGTTGGTTGTGTGCGTGGGGGGGGGATGGAAGTCAGTTATCTGTCCAACCAAGAGAGTTCTAGAGAATGATGACAGGTACGCTGTGAGACTACGCCACGCGCCGGGCTTGCGGGCCGTGGCGAGCAGCGAGGCGTATTCTACGGCGTCCGCCTCGCCCAGCGGCAGCACGCCCAGGATATCCTCGACGACCTGCTCGCAGAGGTAGTTGAGCGCCTCGCTGTCGGCGATCAACTCGTCGGCGGTGAATTCGTTGTGCATCCACGTCAGCTTCTTGAAGATGAACCCGAACATGCGATCCACCTCGGGCAGCAGCGCTGCCGTCACGCCTGGCATTGACACACATTCACAACACCAATCAGCCGCTGCCTAATGTTAAAATCAATTGCTGACGTGGCGAGAGCTGGTGCGACGTACTTCGCCTGAAGCGCTTGCTGCCACCAGCAGCGCCACCACTGTCGTCGCCGGCCGCGAGCATGTCGGACGCGAGCGTCAGCCGGCCGGACAGGGGTCGGACCCGCCGCTTGGTGTCGTAGTGGGTGGAGCGGCGTCGGTCCTGGCGCGTCTGCGCAGATGACGAGACCAGCTCGGCCGACGAGTGCGACGGACGCGCTGCGGTGTCAGATGATGCGGCGGTGGAAGCGGAGATGCCCTTTTCCCACAGCGCCAAGGCGTCGCAGACCAACAGCGTCTGCTTGAGCGGGTAGCAACCTGGGGAATGTGGAGCGTCATCAGCAGCAGCCGGTGCGCGGTTCGGTGTCGACAGATTAGCGTACCATCGAGCCCGCTCTGCCAAAGGCCCCAGCCTTCAGTGAACTTGGCCGGAAGACCGAGCTTGGTAGCGAAGTCCTTGGACGCCTGTCGAAACATAGCGTGCAATTTAACACAGGGCTCTCTGGGGAGCCAGGTGGTTGCCGGCAGTTGCGGAGCTAACTGTACCTCTTGTAGCGTCGTGTGCGACTCGATCGCAAACGCCTTCACGTCGCCATCGGGCAGCTCCACCATGCACATGATCGGCGTAGAGTCGGCCAGCGCCCTTTTTGATGGAGTGCCAACAAAGAGGGTTACTCCCTTGTGGGCCACGCCACAATAAATACATAAATAAATATACAAAGGCAGCACGAAAGAAATAAGGTACTTGATCTCAAAGATCGACGGCGCCTGCTCGCGCTCGTGGGCCACTTGCATGGTCTTAAGCAGCCTTCTGAGCACGCGACGCGCGTGATCCGCCGACACTGCATCTCGATCCTACACGATTGATGACAAGTGAGGCGAATCAGCAAATTGTGTGCACGAGCGCGGTAATCCGTGTGCGGTGGTGCGTGGCGTGCGTGCGTGGCGTGCGTGCGTGGCGTGCGTGTCTCTGTGCATGCGCCTGTGTACCGAAGATAGGTCGGAAGCCTCGGCCAGGAACTGTGTGAGATAGGGCGAGAACGAAGGTGAACCAGTGAAGCATGCCACACAGAGGCCCATCAGTTCAAATCCCTTGAGCATCGAACCACTGCAAGGGAAAGATCGAGGTGAGTGAGCACACAAAAGTGTGTCGGAAAAGGCCTAGAGCTCCCCTCGCCCACTAGGGGTTTGCTTACCTCTTGGGGTTGTTGTTGGTCTGTTTGATGAGCTGGCAGTAGATCTCGTCTCGCAGCAGAACCTCATCGAGGCCCTCCTGGACGATCTCCTGAGCCAGCTTCGTTCGATCGGACTTGCCCAGCGGGAAGTCGCCCATGAACTTCATTATGCCTGCCGAGGGTTCGCACCATTGTCAGCATCATCGGTCACTCTCTGGTGGCTCAAGGCCTGGCTGGCCTTGATTAATGTATTGTCGTACTGGTGAAGATTTTCACGGCCTGCTTTCCGAGCTTCTCTTTCTTTTCCTTGCTCGACACTTCGTTGAAGACGAGCAGAGGCACCTTGATCGGACTCTGCGATTGCGTGGATGCGCGTACATGGTCACGTGTGTGTCTGATGGCGGAAGTGATTTGGCTCTGGGGCCACTCTAGTAGTGCGTACCATAGAGAACGACAGCATCTCATTCGGCGAAGCGTTGTTGGACACCTTCCATTTCATGAGCGTGCCGGACTTGGAAGTTGACGCCTTGTTAAAGTTGTACTCTGCCCACGCGACCATCGTGTGTGCTCCGCCGGCCTTGCCCACAACGACTTCAAGAAAGAAAGGTATTAGTTTCAGACCAACATTGACGCTCTGCCCATTCGGGGTGCCTCTTACCTTCAACCCTCTTCCCTCTTGCTGGAGAATAGAAAGACCCCGACGGGAGGGGTTCCTCCTTGTTATTGTTGCTGCTCTTGGTGCTCGCCTTGGTATCGCCCAGCAGCAGAGTGCCGAGGGCGCGCAGGGTCGGTGTTCTCTTCCGCGAACTCGTTTCCTTCAGCCGAGAAAACCAGATATGAATGTTAGCCACATATCGCGCACGCCACTCACGACAGTGGCCTGACGGCCAACTCCAAAAGACACACCGCAACACGGTGCCAAGTACCTTCTTCTTTTTGGACGAGGTCTTCGTCTCCTCGGGGAGGGGGATGGGGCCGGCCCGCATGGTGGAACCGGAGGCCTTCTTCCTCCGCTCGGAATGCGGTTGCATGGGAATGAGTGACAAGTCGGCTGAGTCCGTGAGGATGAACTCGGTCATGGCCACGGGGAACATGCCCTGCTTGCCCTGCACCTCGCCGAGGCACCAGCCGTCGATGCTCCGCTCGATGATGTTGATTATGGCACCCTTCTCGAAGCTCAACAGCGACTCGTCGTCCACCTTGTAGTCGAGCAGCGCACGAGCGTACTTGGCCTTTTCTTTGAGCTTGTCCACGTAGCTCGTGAGCATGTAGCTTACGTCGTCACCCTTGTTTGTGTCGTTGGCGGCGTCATGTGTTAGGAAGGAGACTTCGACAAATTAACAGTTAGTTAACACGGAGGAGAGGGGGGAGTACCAGGGTGGTTGGGAAAACGAGGTCCATGGCCGTGTTGTTGCTGTGGAAAACGGTCATGTAGAGCTCGGTGCTGGAGTAGGACCACTCATAGACCTTGCTGTAGTCGAACTTTAAGATTTGCTCCTAGATGATCAAACATGAGGATGCGGTGAGTCAGAGTTGCACTCCCTCATCTTTGCTTCGGTGGCCGCGCGCATACCTTGGTCTCAAGGTTGTAGAACACGACAGCGGTAGCGCCGATGAGGAGTGCAAACTTGTCGGGAAGTCCAAGAGGCTGCACCCTCGGAGCCTCGCCTTCGCGGGGCGGCGGAGTCTGCGGGCGATTCCGTTGATGAGCGACATATCACATAAGCAGGGCAGTAGAAAAACGTACGGAGATGATGAATGGTAGGTGGCCGTAGAAGGGCAGTTCGGAGGCCATCTGCAGGTAGGCCTTCTTTGCACTCGCTGGGTCGACCCCGACGAGCTTTTCGTGCTCGGCAGCAATCTTTGGGTAGTGAGGATTAGCCTTGCTCCTTTGGGCAAGAGGAAACGTGAACGTGAGGCTACGTACTGCCCGAGGCCAATAGCTCGCGTCCCGCGCGTTTAGCATCTCCTTGCTGAGCAGTTGCGGCCTGGGTTGAAGTGGGTTAGTTTACTGGGTGAGTTGGGAGACGAACAATCGAGTTGGGGGCACGTGCAGCATTTCGGTGATGTTGAGCTTGGGGTCGTGATCGCCCACTTGATACTGCAGTTGAATGGCTGCAAACTTGGAGGTCTGTGTGCACCAAAGAGTGATGAGCGCTAGTACGTAAGAAGTTCAGCTTAGTTGGGGGTACGTACCTGAGCCAAGCTGCACCAGAGTCGACCGCAGCGCAAGTCGTTCTGCGCCTGCCAGCAGAGCAGGTTGATTTCGATGTCGTCGCGACGCTCGGGTGGACCCTCGAAGAAGAACAGCTTCTTAAGGACGAACTGGACATCGACATCGATGATATGGATGTTCTTGCTCAACTTCATCGACTTTTTGAGCTCCTCATACGTGGCCAGTATGTCCACGAGTCGGTCGTTCGGCCGCAGCAGTTTATCTGGAATGCAACGTCGATCAATGCCACGCGCCCCAGTGAGGAAGGGAGAGGCAAAAGCAATCAAAAGCAATCAAGGGCACATACAGGTATGGTCGTTGTACGTGACGAGGAGCGACCACCCGTGGGCGTTGGTGATTCGTATGCGCTCGCACATGGACGCCAGCACATCGGACACTGCGCAGCGGACAAACCACGTGTCATTTACTACACTGCGCAGTGCGAATTGAGTGCAGGAGAAAGAGAAAGAAACCTGTGGTGGCAGCGTCGACGTAGAACGCCGAGGTACGACCGTCCATCATGCAGAAACGGCACACGATCTTCTCCATTTGCTGTGTGTAGCGCCCAAGGCTTGAGTTAATGTTTGAAAGCCCATTGGCCGGAAGAGAACGGAGAAAGTACCCCTAGTGCTTCGAGCTCGGTCACGGAGGGCACCATCCGCCGGTCGCCCTTCTGGAACGTGCGTCGCAGCGCTTTGAGGGTGAAGGCAGCCAGGGTGCTCACGTCCCTGTTGCCGTAGAGCGGGAACATGATGGTGCGATCGTCGAACTTCTTGGGCTCGTGGGCGAGATCGAGACGCCTCTCCTTCTCCTTCTTCCGCGACTTGTTGGCGCTCGCGATCAGTCTGTTCTCCTCTTCGCGCACTTCGGCCGAGCAGTGCATGTACAGGAACGACAGCAGATACTTCGTGAACGACGTCGGTGGCCTGCAACGAGTGAGAAAGTAACGCCACGAGGTCAATAAAGCAGATGTGGTAATAGAATTGACGCCGTACCTGAAGGTCGAGCAGCAGAAGAGGATGAGCTTCCAGATGTTGAGCGCAAAGTGCCTGTGGTGAGGAGGTCAAAGGATGTGAGTTGAGAGCAGAACAGTAATTTGAGGAGGCGGGGCAAGCCCGTACGTTCCGCCATTGCGATAGAGCATGCGAAGGAGCTGGCAGAAGATCTCCTCACGCATTTCGCGCGTTACCAACCCCTGTGGTGAGAGTGTGGTGAAGAAGATTCAGAAGAGGTCGACAATCATAGTGGAGAGGCTTGGAAATTACCTTCAACAGCACATATCGCGCAGCGGCATGGTCCTCTTTCTCCATCCACAACAGTATCTCTGTATTATTAGGGGATAGGAGCATGAGTTGCAATTGAATGCCGGGTACTGCCAGGTTCGCACGTACTCCGCGAGATTTCAATGGCGATCTTGGATTTGTTTTCGTCCTCGCCCACCGTTCGCGTGAGCGCGCCAGCGAGCGGTTGCTGGGATGGACCATTGGGGGAGGGGGCAAGGAGCATGAGCAAGAACTGCCATCAGTTAGAGTGTCAGATAAGAAACCGCGCACGTACCATGGAGAAACAGAGCAATTGGCCGGCGGTGACAGTCTTCCGGCGGAACACGCCTGATGTGTGCTGCGAGAAGTTACGGATGGCGTAGCTGTGGAAGTTGAACAGCTTGGCTGACTCTTCGCCGATCAGCAGATCGTCCCTGTCGTTCAATAAGTGAAGTGAGCACAAACAGGGTGCTGCATAGGCGCAGCACCACCACTAAAAGTGCATGGTTGCGTACTCGTGCGAAAAAGGGTCGACTTGCGGCTTGCCCACCTCGCGCTCCTTCACCTCCGCCACTTCTTCGCCCTTGGTGTGTTGGGCTGACGAGAATGAGGCGGCGAAGCTCCTGAGAGATTCCTCCGGTCAACCACGCTCGGTCATGGACAATGATGGGGCTTGGGGACGAGATACCCGGATTTGCCTAGAGGCGACGCTCCGTTCTGTTCGAACTCGGCTTGTAGTGCGATCAGCTCCGTTCGTACGCCGAGCTCCTCGAGCTGCTGGTTTTGAAGCTTCATGTTGACCTCCTGCTTGAGATCCTCCGCCGCGTCGTCTTTCTTCTTTTTGTTTTTCTGGTGCTGCTCCTTCTTCTGCTCCTCGTTTTTCTGCCGGTCACGCTCGGCGGCAGCCGTGTCCGCCCTATCGCGTGTCTTGCGCTCACGCGCCGCGGCTTGTCGCCTCTTTGCCTGCAATCTGCGCCAGGCACACTGCAGCAGATCGCCGAGTCAGTCGGCAAGAAGGATGTCCTGTACACTACGCTGATCGCTTCGTGTGCTTCTCTGTGAGACTGCAGTGGGCAGTGCCAAACCTGAATCGAGATCGCCGCCCTTCGCTTTTTGAGATACCGCTTGCGCACGATGCAACATCGCATACGATTCTGCATGAACCTGACCAAGCACAACGACCGCTTGAGGCGCCGCCTGGTCGAGAGTTGTCGCAATGTGTGAGTTATAGGGCAAAAACAGAACAACACTCTCAGGGTAGGGATGTAACTTACCTGGCCGCAGCCATTCGCACCGTCGACTGGATGAGAACGGCAGCCTTACGGGCTTTGCGATACTTCTTGCGCTCCGTGTATCCCCGCCAATGCTGCAAGCCAGTGGTGGGAAGCGCGTAGGAAAATGAGGGTGAGTGAGTGCTGCATGACCGCCTTACCCATGCGATTGGAGGGGAACACACCTTTTGTAGCGTGATCACATGGTCCTTGAGCATAATCAGCCTTCGCTCTTCCAATTTGGCGGACTGTGTACAGTTGGTGTTGAGTCAGGCGTTTGGCAACGTGTTAAGGCGCACAATAAAAAGGCAACGAAGGGCCGCACCTGCTTGTCTCTCATAAATAGCTTCGTTTTGCCCACCTGGAAATCGTCGGGGCTGGTTAGCCCCTGTCCCTTCAGGGCGTCGAGCAATATCTTGAGCCCTGATTTCACCATCTGAGAGCGCCAGTGAAGACCAGGTTAGTGAGAAGGCCCCTCCGCTATAGGAACGGGAAATGCAGCAATCAGGGTAGATCGGTGTCATTACCTCGAGGTTTTCTCGTTCCAGCACAAGATCGCGCGTCTGTGGTGCGAGGCACTTGTAGTTGCGCCAGAAGACGTCAAAGGTCAACCGAACAGGAAACCCCGCCTTCCTGGAAGATTGGCAATGGGAGAATGCCTGAGTCAGCAACATTCGTGAAGTTGGGGCAGGCTTGGAAGAGAAGAAACCTGATCTTGATGGTCTCCATCATTCCTGCATAGCGCAGCTGGTTCAGCACGAGATCGCTATCGAACACTGCTGGCAGTTTCAACACATTGGGCTTCAGACAGCGCACATAGTGCGGAGCCGTAGCAGTCAGAGTATCCATAAGCGTGCGAAGTTGAACCTGTGAGGAGAGATCTCTGAGTCAACCATCAGCTGTATAATCGGACGATGATGTGGCACATACCCTAAAGGACGAAATGATGCTTGATGCGGACTTTCCGCGCATGGTGCTGTTAGAGTTGGAACCCAGCGATTGCGCCAGAACCCCGGTTGAGCGTGCGCTGGGAGGAGCCACAGTTGCCGCATTTTCCTCTTCGGAGAACAGCGCGTTGAGGAGGCGAAGATTGGACGTATTCATGGCGGCGGCCATGTTCAAACTGAGCGAGTCCCTGTTCTTCTCCAAGAACTCGCTTACTTCGTAACTCACCTGCACGTAAGAGATTTTCAGCTGATGATCACCGCTCGCCTACTAAGCCACCCAGGTGCCGTACGTCTCCGGCGTAATGTTTAAGGATGAAGTTGTTTCCGCGACGCCGCGGCATCTCATAGTTCTTGTGCTTGTTGTGAGCCTCGTTTATCTTCTTCAAGAAGGATTCGTCCGTTCCTTTCGGAAACCTCGACTCTTCATCCAAAAGAGCCAACACGCCTGGCGGACGAAGCTGCAAGAACGATTCGAGCAATTAGAAAAATGAGCAAAGCAAGGAGATGAAATGAGCGATCATCCAACCACACAATCGTACCCCTTCTATCAGGTCAAGGCAGCTCTGGTTGTCGGTGAACGGAATGCTTTCCCACTTGACCCCTTGCGATTCATATTCCTTCTGCTCGAGCTTGAAGATGTGCTGGGTGAAGTGTTGCTGAAGCGCCTCGTTCGTGTAGTTGATGCACAGCTGCTCCAAGCTGTTCCACTTCACATACCAAGCTGGCTAGCGTCAGCAATCACCATGGGCACAGCCCACCAGAAAGAAGAAGGCCTTACCGCAAAGTTCTCAAAGCCAAAGATGTCCAACACGCCGATGAATCTATGCTCTGTCGGCTTCTTGCCCTCGGGCAGCTCTTCTGGCTCTGCCGAGATCGAGGCGTTGATTTTGCCCACCAGCCAGTTGAATAAGCGGTCGTATAGGGATTTGGCCAGGGTGTCGCGAGCATCGGTTGCCTAGGCAGATGGATGAATGGAGAAAATCAGAACAGCAACCAACGATGACACGGTGAGGACAACGAGTGCGAACCTCTTCTCGCAACAAAGGCTTGAACATACGCTCTTTGCCCACGTCGATGAGGCGAGAGGTCAGCGCTGCCTTCAGATCGTCGTGATCAACCCGCAAGAGGTTTGACGCCAGCCGTAAGCCTGACGTGTTGTTGAGTGAGTGGCGTCCGTGCAGTACAACCAAAAACATGGTGCACCACGTACTTTCTTCATCGTGCACTACCGCCGTGTTCTTTTCATTAGTACCGAAGGTCACGTTGCCCAAGTGCAATATAGCAGCCAACACGGCGAAGATGTCGCTTTGCTCCTCCTCCGTGATCCCGAGCAGGGCCATGGCAGTCTACACGGAATGGGGGACATAAGTGTTGTCACATTTGGCCAGCGTTGTGAGAGGACGAACCAGCATGCGTTGCCAGTCCTGCTTATCGTTCACGTTCGGAATATAGTACACGCCGCTTTGGTTCAGATAGTGGAACTCAGACATGTCCTTGAGCCCATACAAGTCTTAAAAAAAAGCAAGTCGGGTCAGCAGCGTCAGGCCACGAAAGGATGGAAAGGTTTGGAGAGTCAATACTCTTCATGTCGGGAGTGCAGCCCTCGGAAAACATGTAGAAGATGTGATAGTTCCTCTCGCCCTGAGCCTGCTTGACAATGCGAGACTTCTCCAGCAGATCTTCAAGTATTGATGAAGATCACAATGGCGGCGTTAGAATGGGTCACAGGCCTAAACCCGTGCGCGGAAGCCGCGTACAATTGGTGATGCGTGCTCCCTTGATCCCAGAGCAATGCTCATCGAACTGAATCTCCACGTATCGTCCCTGCATTCATAAGCACAGTACTAGTATCAGCCAGCTTTACTCCATCGTACACACACCACACGTGCGTCCATCAACTTTGGTGTGAGTGTTACGTACGAAGCGTGAGGAGTTGTTGTTGCGGACGGTGGCGGCATTGCCGAACGCCTCCAGCACCGGATTGGCCTCAAGTATCTTGCTCTCAACCGACGACTGCTTGTTCGTCCGCTGCGCCAGGAACTGCATGATAAGCTTGGTCGCTTCTGTTTTGCCCGCGCCCGACTCTCCACTGCACGATCCATTGATTAAGCAAAATGTATATTTTATAATTCGATTCAAACAGAGCAGAAGGGCAATACCTTATAATGACGGACTGGTTGCGCTTGTCAGCGACGAGGGCCGAGTAGGCCGCGTTCGCCACAGCAAAGATGTGGGGCGGCAGCACGCCCATACGTTGGCCGGCATATTGCTTCAGCAGCTGGTGCGTGTAGATTGGCAGATGCTCGTAGGGATTTACTGACACCAAGATTGAGCCCGTGTAGGTCTGCTCATCAGCCCACCCCGGTTAGGGCTTGCGTGGAATGCATCGAGGACAAAGAAAAATCAACCACAAAAATCTGCGCTACACGATTTTACAATCGATTTTTAGGAAACGTACGTAGATGAGCTTGCTGTCGAAGCGGCGCTTGAGGTTAGCAAGGATCGTTTCCTCGGACAGCTGTTCCAAAGTGATCATGTCCTCGATGCCGTTCGGGGGCAGCGCGTTGAGCATGGCCTCGGTCAGCACAATCGGAGGAGGGGCCACCGGTACCGGCGACATCGACACGCTCTTGCGCCATCCGGCCCCAGGTGTCGAGGGGCTGATGAAGGAGCGCGACATCTCTCCCTTCTTCCTCTCCCCCTGGTACAGCCCCAAATTCGCTCTTCTCGAGAGGACGACGGGAGCTAACACCAGTTGAAGAGCTCACCCAACACACCAGACCAAGTTGATGGATAAAGGGACGTCTTGTGCGCTTGTTGTGTGAATGCAATCGCGGCCTTTTCTCTGCGTTTCTTTTTCTCCTATAACCATTGTTCGCCTCCAGGGAACCACTTGAGCCCTAACAAGGTGAAGCTGTGGCCTCAATTGGAAGGTGCGTTACCGGCCAAGTTGGGAAGCGGTGTCCGCTGACGACCAGGCTGCGGGCCTCTCTGCGCTGTACCGGGCGGTAATTGCTCCGGCCGCGGTGCTGCTCCAACGACAGTACGACCTCGCGGCCGGGTTGTCCCTTCGCGTAACAAGACCTGCGCTGGTGTCCAGCCAACCAAACCAATTCATTTGATTTTAAAGTCCGTCCAATCGCGTCGCGTCTACGAATCCACGCACATTGAAGGCACCAAGGCCGCGTTGTCTTCTTCTCACCTTCACTTGTGCTCTACACCAAACCACACTCGCCACTCGTCCAAACCACCAAAAGATGGCCAACGTACTCACTGGATCGAACGATAAGGAGAAGCTGGATGACCTCATCACCCGCACCCACAAGGACCAGGCCGTTTGGTTCCTCAATGCCGTCTGGGAGGTACGCCGCCGTCACTGGCTTCTCGCTCTCTTTCTGAATCTTTTTGGATTTTCATGTCTTCCGTTCGTTCATCTTTCCGGCTACCTCAGGTAGGTTCCAAGTGCGGAAATCTAATCTTTTTTGGTCCACGCTGCGCAGGATTTCGGCGCGAAGGAGGCGGAGAAGGTGTGGTCGTTCGTGCACAAGGCCATCGAGCTCGACGAGGCCAAGCGCGCCGAGGGCTCCGACCTCGACGAGTTCCAGGCCCACCGCTTCCTCGAGCACTTCAAGGAGACTCTCACCGTCCAGGTACCCCCCCCCACCACACGCACTCAAGCCCCCGCGCCCGTTCTTTTCCGCTCTCGCTTCGTTCTTTTTGTCGCCGTCACTTTCGCTCTTTCTTTCGCCGCGTGCTGCGGGCTGGGCGCTAATTAATTGGCTGTGGTCAACAGGCGATGAGGGACAAGCTGAGGTCGACGGGCGCCATCGTGGGCACCGTCAAGCGCGTGCCGCTCACCCACATCCTCACCTTCAAGTACAACGTCGATTGGCACGCGCTGGTCAACGCGCCGCAGGGCTCCAAGGAGGAGATCGAGAAGGCCGAGAAGGTGTTCAACGAGGTGCAGCGCGCCTTCGAGGAGTCGGCGGCGCGCGACGCCGAGGCTGCGGCGGCCCTGTCGGAGGCCACTTCGCGCGAGGCCGAGGCCAAGTCGCGCGAAGCGGCTGCGCTGGCGGCGGAGAACGAGGCCAAGGCCCGCGAGGCCGACGCGCTTGCGGCCGAAGCCGACGCCAAGGCCAAGGAGGCGACGCGCTGGCCCGTGAGGCCGAGGCCAAGTCCCGCGAAGCTGCCGCCCTCCAGGCCGAGGCCGAGGCCAAGCAGCGCGACGCCGAGGCCCAGGCCTCTGCCGCGGAGGCCCGCCGCACGGAGGATCAGGCCAAGGCCGAGGAGGCCGAGGCCACGGCCCGTAACGACGAGCTGCAGGCGGCCAAGGCCGAGCTCGAAGCCGCGCTCAACGAGCTCAAGGCGCAGGAGGACGCCTTCAACGGGCGCACGGCCGAGCTCACGCGGCAGTCCGAAGAGGGCAGCGTGGTGCAGAAGAACCGGGCCAAGAACGAGCTCGCCCAGCACCTGTCGTCGGACCCGCTGCCGCTGCAGGCGGGCCAAGATCACACAGGAGGCCGCCGTGAAGAAGGCCGACCGCGCCGCTCAGGTGGCCCAGGCCGCTGCCGACAAGGCCACGGCGGCCAGGACCGTGGCCGAGGACGCGCGCAAGGCCGCCGATGCGTCGGCGCAGCAGGCTTCGCAGGCCCGCGCCGCCGCTGAGGAAGCCTCACGACAGGCCACCCAGGCCCGTTCAGCTGCCGAGCAGGCCGCCGCCCAGGCCTCGCAGGCCCGCGCCCAGGCCGAGGAGTCGGCCCGCCAGGCCTCGAACGCCCGCGCCGCTGCCGAGGAGGCGGCGCGCCAGGCCACCCAAGCCCGCGCCGAGGCCGAGCAGGCCCGCGCCAGGTCGGAGGAGGCCAAGGCGGCGGCCGAAGCCGCTGTAGAGGAGGCGCGTGCGCGCCTGGCCGAGGCCGAGGCCTACCTGGAGGAGGCCAAGCAGAGGCTGCCCAAGGGCGCCACGTGGTGGCTGGAGCGCGAGCTGCACGAGCGTCGGGCTTACCTGCCCGCCAGCAAGGGCGGCTACAAGAAGGGCACCCACTAAACATTCCTTCTCTGTACAACCACCAAGTGTAAACTGATCAAAATATAAACATGACCTCAAAGATGTGCTGTGTTGCTTCTTTAATTGTGTCTAACAATACAGGAGACGATACCACAGGGTTCGCGGTGGTGAACAGCTGTACAAGTGAGACGTCAAGCCTGAGGTTTAGGCGACGTCGATCAGTTCGGAGGCCTTGGCCGTGCCGAAGCTAAGGGTGTGCTTGCACCGCAGGGGCGCGTGGCCGACGTGCTTCTTCCACTGGACGGTGACGCCCACGCTGAAGGTGCCCCAGCCCAGGCGAGTGACCCGGAAGGGCGCCTCCGTGACGCGCACTTGGGCCGGCGAGAAGGTCGGATGGAGGTCGTAGGTGACGTGGTCCACCAGCTCGGCCAGATCGCGGGCATCGTCGCGCCCGTCCGGCAGCTTCACGAACATCGTCCACTGGTGCGTGTTGTTGCCTCGGTCGGTCGGCACCGCCGCATGCTCGTTGCCTACCTCGATCACCTTCGGCACCTCCACCACCTCATCGTCTTCGTTCTTTTCCTTCTTCGTCTTCGTTTTCTTGCTCTTCTTCTTGTTCTTCTTCTCGCCGGCTTCCGCTTCATCGTCTTCTTCGCTGCTGCTGCTGACGTCGACCACCTCCATCCGGTCGACCTGCCGCGTGAGTCGTTCGGCTGCCGCCTCGCGCCGGCGGTCGTCGGCCTCGGCCTCGCGCAGGCGGGCCATCTCCTCTATGGCCTCGGCCTTCTTCTTGTAGTACGGGTGCACAAAGTTGGGAATGCGGTTGAGCGGCACGGCGTCGCGCGGGCGCCACACGGGCACCGGGTCGATGGGCACGTCGAGCCGGGCCATCAGGCCCTCGAACACCGGGTCGCACTTGGCCCAGATGCGCAGCGTGGCCTCGTCGTCGTCGGGCGTCGGCTGGAGGTTGATCAGTACCACCTGCCGGGCCAGGAACGGGAAGTGGGTGATGTGGCGGAGCGACATCGACGTGCCGGCGATGATGCACAGATCGGCCCGGCGGCAGTGGGTGTCGGCCTCGTTCCAGTCCACCTCGTCCAGCAGCTCGCCAAAGTTGATGTGGGTGTCCTTGGTGCCGCAGTTGGTGTCGCGGGTGCCCACCATGCGCCCGCCCCAGCGGCCCTTCTTCATCTTGAGGTCGCCCGGCGTGCCCTTGTAGTGGGCCGGCGGCGCGCTGCCGCACCGCGAGCAGGTGCCCACTTTGTGGTCATGCACGTGCGTGTGGCCCTGGCGGACGTGGTAGTTGCGCTCAAAGTCGTAGCCGCACCCCGAACACCGCTCGACGTAGATGTCACCGTGCAGGCAACACAGCTGCTCGTGATCCTTCAGTCCCGCCTTCCTGCTCACCAAAGTTTGTTGTTGCTTGTCAGACACTCGACCGCACACACACACACACACACACACATGCACACAGCACACAGCACACACGACACGACACGACACGCACAAACATGGTTGGGAAGGAACCTGTAGATGCCGTCGAGGTTGGTGGTGACGACGTAGTGGGCGAGACCCAGTCGGATGAGGGTGGCCATGGCCATGTGGGTGGGCGTGGGCTGGGCGTCGCACATGTCGATCTTGACTCGGGCCTTCTTCTCCTCGCGCGCGGCCTCGGCCTTGAGCTTGGTCAGCTCCGACTCGTCCTCGGCCGTCCTTCCGGCGCCCAGCAGCTCCAGCTCCTTGATCTTGCGCTTGGTCCAGGCGCCCGACGGGCCGCGGTAGTCGCCCACGCCGGCCGACGTGGACACTCCCGCGCCCGTAAAGAACACTGTGTACTTGCTTTGCTTCACCTGGCGAAGAGGAACCAACCAACGAACAGGGCGGAGTCAGTACTGACATCACAGAAGAAGACAAGATCTTTAGAACTCGGTAGATAAGAACTAGATATCATGTTTACCATCTTGGCGAGGCGGTCGAGCTTCTTCTGGAAGAAGGGGTCATTCTCTTCATTGAATTCCCGCACGCGGGTGGAGTCGACTGTGCTGGCCATTGCAGTATTGTCTGTTGTGTAGATCTTTAGTTATTTGCTGGTGGCTGCACGGCATCTTTTTGTACCCCTCGCCGGCGTTCGGCGAACAAGCACCACCGGTGTTCCTTCTTCCTCTCCGCCACTTCACCGCATCACGTGCTGTCGACAGACAAACAAAGAAAATTGAAGTGAAGCCAAAATGAAGCAAAAAAATACAACGTCGGCGTCGACACAATTTTTTGTTCACAGAAAAAGCGTCTTGCTGTGTTCGCGCTTCTCGACGTCGGCACTCGCGACGTTGCTGCTGGGCGGCACAAAAGGTACGCCAGGGCCGGCAGATATCTTCATTCAACCAACGAAGCAATCAACAATCAACAACTGACACTCCTACCTAATATAAAAAGTTACAAGATGGGCAACATTCTTCAGAAGCTGTTCTCGGGTTTCAGCCAGGAGGCCAAGATCCTGCTGGTGGGCCTCGACGCCGCCGGCAAGACAACGCTCCTCTACAAGCTCAAGCTCGGCGAACAGGTCACCACGATCCCCACCATCGGATTCAACGTCGAGACCGTCACCTACAAGAACGTCACCTTCACCATGTGGGACGTCGGCGGCCAGGACCGCATCCGGAAGCTGTGGCGCTACTACTTCCAGGGCTCCAACGCGATCATCTTCGTCGTGGACAGCGCCGACCGCGAGCGGATGGACGAGGCCAAGGACGAGCTGGCCGCAATGCTCAAGGCCGACGAGCTCAAGGACGCCGCGCTGCTCGTCTTCGCCAACAAGCAGGACTTCTCGCAGGCCATGTCCACATCAGAGGTCATGAGCAAGCTCGGCCTCCTCGACGCGGCCAACCACGGGCGACGGGTGCACTGCCAGGCCTCTTCCGCCACCACTGGCATGGGCATCTACGAGGGCATGGAGTGGCTCTCGCAAACCCTCAAGAAGTGATCTCTTCCTCTATGTTTGGCCCTTCACTTTCGGGTACTTGTACATAAAACCAACATTGCAAACACCTTTGGCCGCATGAAGATGTCGACAAGTTCTGTGTGTCGGCAGAAAAGAAGAAAATTCAAATTTAATTACCCATTGGTGAGGTCCGGTCGCCGGCGTTGTTTGATCTTCATCATAAAACTTCCTTGTACCCTACACACAACCACTACATCAAAAGATGGCCACCGTTCTTGCTGGATCGAACGACAAGGAGAAGCTGGATGACCTCATCACCCGCACCCACAAGGACCAGGCCGTCTGGTTCCTCAACGCCTTTTGGGAGGTACGCCTCGCCGTCACACTCCTTCAGTCCCCTCTTCATCCCAAAAACATCTTTTGTTCCGGACGTCGCTCAGCGGAAACTAATCTTTTATTGATGAAATATTTTTTGGGCGTGAGCAGGAGTTCGGCGAGAAGGAGGCCGAGAAGGTGTGGTCGTTCGTGCACAAGGCCATCGAACTCGACGAGGCCAAGCGCGCCGAGGGCTCCGACCTCGACGAGTTCCAGGCCCACCGCTTCCTCGAACACTTCAAGGAGACTCTCACCGTCCAGGTACCCCCGCCTCTCGCCGCCTCATTCTTTCCTCGCGTTCGTCACTCTGCGTTTTCCGGCTTTGACCAAATTAAGTTGGCTTTGACTTGGGTCAAACCTTTTCAAATTGATTTCATGTATTTTTGTTTACATTAATATTTAGTACGCAATGTATGCGTATGTGTGGTGGATCATCAGGCGATGAGGGACAGGCTGAGGTCGACGGGCGCCATCGTGGGCACGGTCAAGCGCGTGCCGCTCACCCACATCCTCACCTTCAAGTACAACGTCGACTGGCACGTGCTCGTCAACGCGCCGCAGGGCTCCAAGGAGGAGATCGCCAAGGCCCAGAAGATCTTCGAGGACGTGCAGCGCGCCTTCGAGGAGTCGGCGGCGCGCGACGCCGAAGCCGCGGCGGCCCTGTCGGAGGCCACTTCGCGCGAGGCCGAAGCCAAGCAGCGCGAGGCCGAGGCCAAGCGGTCTGAGGAGGAGGCCAAGGCCCGCGAGGCCGACGCGCTGGCCGCCGAAGCTGAGGCCAAGGCCCGCGAGGCCGACGCGCTCGCGGCCGAAGCCGACGCCAAGGCCAAGGAGGCTGACGCACTGGCCCGTGAGGCCGAGGCCAAGTCCCGCGAAGCTGCCGCCCTCCAGGCCGAGGCCGAGGCCAAGCAGCGTGAGTCCGAGGCCCAGTCGGCCGCCGAGCAGGCGCGCCAGTCGGAGGAGCAGGCCAAGGCCGAGGAGGCCGAGGCCCGCGCCCGCGAGGACGAGCTGCAGGCGGCCAAGGCCGAGCTCGAGGCGGCGCTCAACGAGCTCAAGGCGCAGGAGGACGCCTTCAACGGGCGCACGGCCGAGCTCACGCGACAGTCCGAGGAGGGCAGCGTGGTGCAGAAGAACCGGGCCAAGAACGAGCTCGCCCAGCACCTGTCGTCGGACCCGCTGCCGCTGCGTCGGGCCAAGATCACGCAGGAGGCCGCCGTGAAGAAGGCCGACCGCGCCGCTCAGGTGGCCAAGGCCGCCGCCGACAAGGCCACGGCGGCCAGGACCGTGGCCGAGGAGGCCCGCCAGGCCGCTGACGCCTCGGCCAACCAGGCTTCGCAGGCCCGCGCCGCCGCCGAGGAGGCCTCGCGTCAGGCCTCGCAGGCTCGCGCTGCCGCCGAGCAGGCTGCTGAGCAGGCCACCCAGGCCAGGCACCAGGCCGAGGAGTCGGCCCGCCAGGCCTCGAACGCCCGCGCTGCCGCCGAGCAGGCCGCCCGCCAGGCCTCGAACGCTCGCTCGGCTGCTGAGCAGGCCGCTGCCCAGGCCACTGAGGCCCGCGCCGAGGCCGAGCAGGCCCGCGCGAGGTCGGAGGAGGCCAAGGCGGCGGCCGAGGCTGCCGTCGAGGAGGCGCGTGCGCGCTTGGCCGAGGCCGAGGCCTACCTGGAGGAGGCCAAGCAGAGGCTGCCCAAGGGCGCCACGTGGTGGCTGGAGCGCGAGCTGCACGAGCGTCGGGCTTACCTGCCCGCCAGCAAGGGCGGCTACAAGAAGGGCACCCACTAAACATTCCTTCTCTGTACAACCACCAAGCTTACGCCCTCTTCTCCCAAGATACGTGTCTTTTATTTAAATGTAACTTCAACATTCGCACCTTGGCCTGCATGTTCAGCTCTACACGTGAATATATCGATATGAACCTTTTTCCAGAGCCCGTGTGTGTGCAATCAGTTCTTATGGTAGGGGTGGCTGCGGTACCAGTCGACCACGGAGTCGGCGCGCACGCGCTGCGACTCCTGCCCCAAGTTGAACAGCACGCGCTCCCTCATGGCCTTCAGCTCCCACAGCTGTTTGTGCTTTAGGTGGGGCGGCAGCTTGCGAGGGCTTTTGATCTCGGCCAGGAGCGCGGGCAGCACTATGGGTGGGGCCAGGTGTTGACCAACACCGTTGGGGACCCGGGGCTGACTACCCGTTTGGTAGCCCGGCCGATGTATGGGCGTCCCCCGGTGTCGTTGGGGAGGAAGATGCGGCCACAGTGGGCAGGGTCGAGGTGGGCTTGGGCGTAGATGCTGCCGTAGATAGACACGCCCCACACCAAGAGCGTCCGCTGGAGCTTCCAGTACTCGACACGCTCAGCGTAGCTCAATGTCCTCTGTTCGAGCTGGCGGGCCTTGAGCCAACGTAGAAGCCCCATGCTCCTGGTTTGCTGCGCCAGAAGCTGACGAGCCTCCTGCCCTCTTGTTGTGCTGAACGGTCAACAACAAACCAGTTTTGGGCAGCCACCAGGGGAGGAATTCCAAGCCCAGAAATTTATGGAATGTTAGTTAAGCTGTTCAATTTGTGATTGGCCTGCCGACAAGCAATACCCGCCTAAATGAACATACCACCAAAACCACACAAGAGGGAGAGATGGGGAGGAGCGGAGAGCGGAGCGTTGTGCTTTTGGGCTTCCTTGCGGCGCTGTGCCTACTGGGCAGTGGAAACGCTCAGCGGTTGCCAAAGGGCTTTGCGAACCCTATCGACAGGTATGTACGAAAGAAATTCATTTGAATGAAAATGTTATTTATTTATAAATGAAATTGATTTTAAAGGAAATTATAATCTCTTTGTTGTGGTGCAGTTGCCCGAAGTTGCCGCCACACAATGCCACAGTCATCCAAGACCTGCGTCCTTCGGTGCACCCCGGGCACCAACCGCAGCGCAAGTGTTGTTGTTGTGGTTCTCACCTCCTACACATCGTAGGACATCAAAGTGGTGATGGCGTTGGGCGACAGCATCACCGCCGGCTTCGGCATCATGGGCCGCGATGTACCCGACATCTTAGACGAATACCGCGGCCTCAGGCACTTGGCGGCTCACGCACCGTCCGTTACTACTCACACTCACCATCTCGTCCTGTGCTCTGTTTTTTATTGCGTGTGCGCAGCGCCCCGATCGGCGGCGATGACGGTGCCATCACGATGGCCAACTTCTTTCGCCACTACTCGCCGAACGTGGTGGGCGCCTCCTTGGGGCGACATGTGGTCGAGCTGCCTGAGTTCGTACGTACCAAACCATGGTGGCTTCCTCTCGACAACCTGCAAGCCGTTATTGACCCAATTTTATGTCCGACGTGGTGTTGTGTGCAGCCGTACTATGACCAGGACCAGCTCAACGGCGCTCAGAGCAATGCGGGAGTGGCCAGCCTCATGTACCAGCTTGAGTACGTTGAAGCTGTGCCGAGATTTAACTCCGATGCTGCATGTTCTGACCACTCCACTCCCCCACTCCACACAGGCACTTGATCCAGAGGCTCAACTCCGACCCGCGCGTCGATATGGACAAGGACTGGAAGATCATCAACCTGCTGATCGGGGTACTACCACATGGGACGTCATGTCCTGGTCTGATCCACTGCTTACCACCTTCTTGTTTGCCCACAATTCCCGTTACAGGCCAACGACGCTTGCCCGCTGTGTCTCGACATCACGCCGCCCTCCATCGCCAGCATGGGCGACTTCTACGAGCAGGTAGGTCTGTGTATGGTCATGTGTGTCGTATGTTGTGTCTCATTTGTGCGTCGTGTCGTGTCGTGTCGCGTGTGTCGTTGTGTATGGTGTGCCACAGAACCTGCGCAAGGTCGTGGAGACTGCGTATCAGAAGATCCCAAGGCTGTTCTTCAACATCCTGCCCATGTTCAATGTGTCCCAGGTCTACTACCTGTCGCTGGGCCTCCCCTACTGCTTCGAGCTCCACGACGTACTCCCCGTGGAGTGCCTGTGCGCATTCGACTCCACCGCCTGGAGGCGCAACTACCTCGACCAGGTTCAGCCCCGGCTAAGCACTAACCACTCACCACGTAATTAACCACCCGACCTACACCTCACACCGCGGACCGTGGCTTTGTCGCAGGTGCTGCAAGAGTTCAACAGGCGCATCTACAAGCTCTATGACGAATGGAAGGCCAAGAAGCTCACGACCTTTGCGCTGCAGGTCCAGCCTTTCTCGGCCAACCGTACGGTTCCATTTCTCTTCGTTCTTCGTTCATTACCGCCATCTTCTTCTGAGTTCGCTCAAAGTTGGTGGCGCTCACTCAATCACTCCATCATAATAGTTACAATT